ATGTTGCACGTTGGTTGCTGCTTGAAATTCCAAGGGGCCGTGACCATGAGCGGGTCTGACCAAAGCGTCGGACCGGGACCAAGCAATGCCGAGCTGCAGCAGAAGCTGAGCATCCTGGAGAAGCGACTGGATCACATTGATTGCCAAGGTGGGGGGGGTACTTAGAAGTATTTAGGTTGGCATGGATGACAGTTTGGGGGCTGAAACTATTCTGCACATTGAGCGAGGCGCGAAGAGCCCCGGGGTCCTCCACGAGCGGGTGACCAAACTGGAGGACCAGCTCGCGCAATTCGAGGTGAAGCTCGGGGAGTGCAGTGGTTCTGCTAGTGGCGTGAAGGAGGCGCTAGTCTCACAAACTTCCCAGACCAACCGCATCGAGGAGAAGCTTTCGAGCCAATTGCAGGTCGCTCAGGCCAGCATTCAGGCATGCTGCGCGCGGCTCGCTGCCATGGACGAGCAGCTTGACAGCGCCATGCGCACTGTGGCCAGTTTGACGGCGGAGGTGAATCTGAAGCAGGCGACTCCGGCCCATGCCCCCTCTGAGGACATTGAGCCCGTGCAAGCACAATTTCACGACGTTTTGCTGCAAATCTTGGGCCGTCTGTCAGCCTTGGAAAACCCGAGGTCGGTGCCAGAGGCAGGATGTCAGGTGGACTCTGGGCACGTTGATGCCTCGAGTTGGCAAACCATGATCAAACACATTAAGTCCATTGAGTATGAACCACAGAAATCTAGCTGCAGTTTCTTCCATGTTCTTCCTTTGAATATCTCGCGACCTGCATCCAAACATATCCCAACATGCATGCTTTCATGTTGGTTCTGGACGCATGGCTCAAACCTTATCCCAGAGGCACAGATGCGCAGCCAAGACTCGAACCAGCTCGAAGTGAAGCTGCAGACGTTGACGGAGAGCCTCGAGCGGCTGAACTCGGAGGCGAGGCAAACGTGGATGGGGAAAACATTCTGAAAGAGCGGTTGAACGTGTTGCGCATGCCGTGGGGATTTTCATGGGGCTGGTGACTGGAAGCCGAGGTCTTGGAGGTGACTGCGCGTGTGGAGGCGCAGGCCGTGCACGTGGTCTCGTGCCGGAGCCGACTGGATGCACTCGAAGAGCCTCAGTCAGAGATGGGCCCACGGCGTTCGTGAAGAAAAAACGGCGTGCGGCTCATTCGTGCGCGCTCGGCGTGGGTGGAGGAAATAGGCAATGCTCTCTAGAGCTGCCAATCTTCTCAACTTCTTGGAGCGTGGGAGTGGGAGAAGATGGGATATGAACTCGGGGCCGAGCCGGTCAGACAAACTTTAGAGCCTCCGGCTCAGTCCGCCGACATTGTCCTCTCCCTTTTCTCCTTCTTCCTCTCTCCCTTGTCTCCCTCGTGTGTTCTGTCGTCCTCTCTCCCTCCCCCTGCTCCCCATCCTCCCCGTCCCCCCAAACCTCTCTCCTCAATCTCCCTCCCTCTCTCTTTCTCTCTTTCTCTCTTTCTCTCTTTCTCTCTTTCTCTCTTTCTCTCTTTCTCTCTTTCTCTCTTTCTCTCTTTCTCTCTTTCTGTCTCTCTGTCTCTCTCTCTCTCTCTCTCTCTCTCTCTCTCTCTCTCTCTGTTTCTCTGTCTCTTTCTGTCTCCCTGTCTCCTTCCTGTCCACGCACCTCTACAGAAAAAGGGTACCCTAATTCGAACCTCTCTACTCTCTCACGTTCTCGCTCTTTCTATCTCTCTCTCTCTCTGTCTTTCTGTGTCTCTCTTTCTCAGTCTCTCTCTTTCTCTCTCTCTGTCTCTCTCTCTCTCTCTCTGTCTGTCTCTTTCTCTGTTTTTCTGTTTCTCTGATTCTGGCTCTGTCTCTGGCTCTGTCTCTCTCTCTCTCTCTCTTTCTCACTCTCTGTGTCTCGCTCTCTCTCTCTCTCTCTCTCTCTCCCGCTCTCTCCCTGTCTCTCTCTCTCTCTCTCTCTCTCTCTCTCTCTCTCTCTCTCTTTGCATTGCAGCGTCACGCCCCCCTGAGTTGCCTCGATGTCCGGGCACTGCCCCTTCATAACCCTGAACTGTCATCTCACTGCTGGCTTCCCCCTTGATTTCCCCTTCATGTCCTTTTCACGTTTCCCATCGTCCTGGTCATGTCCCTTCCATGCCTTTCAACTCCCCCTTCATGTCCCTGAGTATGTCCGCTTCATTTTCCATGTATGTCCCGTTCTTTCGTTGCGAGTCATTTCCCTACATCTCCCGTCGTGCCGCATTGTTTCCCTTTTATTCCCCCTGCACTCCCCTTGTTGTCATTTCTGTCCCTTGCATGTCCTGTCAGTTCCCCTTTGCTTCCCTTTCATTTCCCGCTGCTTTCCTGTCATGTCGACTTCCTATGTCCTTCCCTCATGTCCTTGCACTTCCTTGCATTTCCCCTTTGCTCCCCACTATTTCCCGCAAAAAAAAACCTGGTTTTCCAGCGTTTTTGCAATCAGGGCGTCCAAAAACACAGAGTTTTTCAAGATTTTCGGCAAAAGGAGGCAGGAACCCCAAACCAGCAAAGATCCGGCAGGGGGAATCGAGCCTGGGACCCCTGTTTTGCGACACCGGCTCCCCGAAGACTACGTTTAGTGGAACGTCATCAAATTGCCGCGCGGTCCGTGGGGGGGGGGTGGGGGGGGGGCACGTATCAGACGTCGGGCGGGGGGGGGGGTTATCCTCTATCCTCTCTTAGGTGTCCGACACGCCGAGCAATGTCCGCGGATAGGCACATGTTGTTAAGACTGGCCGGGCAACAGCTTCAAGATCACAATTTGGTGCTGTAAGGGAGGTTTTCAACACCAGGCGCCTCATGTCAGCTCAAGCCCAGCCACGCGCAGTGCGGTCTTCAAGGGCCGCGAGATCACCATCTCCATGTTCTCCAAGGCATGGAGAGCAACACGAATCAGGGTCAGACGTCATTGCCATTGTCATTCAGCTAGACCATGGCGGCTCTGATCACGTTGCTTGAGGAATCCGTTTTCTCTTCCCCTCTTGCCACGCCCTGAATGAACACTCCAATGATGGATGTCACAGAGCCATCCCATGGTGGAACAAGATGGCCCCAATGCCTCTTGAGCCAGAGGGTGCCAATGAATTGCGTTGAGCAGCAACTCCGATACCTCAATGCGCCCCACTCCAAGTGCTCGGCCGACAAAGGAGGACAACAAACCGATGCCTGCTGCGCGCAGTGGTGGCGGAGGACGGTTTCTGTTTTTGATTCTTTTGGGCCGGGGGGTGGGGGTGGGGATGGGTGGGTGGGGATGGGTGGGTGGGTAATAGTAGCTTGGAAACATGTCCCAACTTTTGTAGCAGTGGGTAAGCACTTAAATTAAATGCTGCTTCTCAATGTTGTTGACTTCTGTGAAGTTTGAACATCGGCTCTTTCATCATTCGCAATTGGTGAACAACGTCAATGCTTGCCCTACCCACACTCTACACTGTGGTGGCACGTCGATCTTCCAAGAGCATGTATGTTGCTCACAGTTGGACAGCCGTACGCTTTGCCTTTTTAGACCACAGTTAATGTGTTGCGCTTCTTCGAGTTTGCCACCAATCGTTTCAGCCAGGAGGCCGCGGCATGGGCAGTGGCGGCAGCGGCGGCAAGGGCAAAGGTGCCACCCCCAAGCCAAAGCATGGTCGAATCTGAAGCTCGCTGGGGACGGTCAGGAGACACCAATTGCCGGTGCCGAAGTTGGGAGAAAGGCAACATATCAAGTTTGTTGTGTATGTGTGTGTGTGGTGTGTGTGGTTCTCACGCTTTCTGACGAGAGAACTTGTGCGGAATTGTGGCATCTTCTGCAACCGCAAATTTCGTGCCGAGCAAAGATGCATGAGCTAGCTCTGATTTCGGCTGTGGTTCCTATTCGCCACCATTCAATACCATTCAGAGTCTAAGTTTCCTGACAATGTCACTTTAGTAGACCCCCTTTGAAGCTGCTTAATGCGAGGCACCAAGTCAGGGTCCTCACCAACGATTTGCAGTGTCAACTTGCCGGCGATCTACCACACTATGTTGCCACAGTTGCGATTCAAGATGATATATCGGAATGAGGTGAACCAGCGTAGGCATTCATTTGGTGCGCATGTCTGAGAGCATGCCGGAATCTTTGCTGCAGGCCCACATGCTCCAGCACGGTGATCGTGCTTCTCCCCACCAAAAATGGCCCAGAACAACTTGTATGGGATGCATGGTCAATGAACAGGCATGAATTCCCCACCTTCCTAGTTTTGCCAGCACACAGGCGATGACAGAGGAATGGGTGGGGCACTGAGTGTGGATGTGTGAAAGCTGACGCCCCCTGCCAGGCAACTTGAAGCCCTTAAAGGGCAGCCTCCATCACAGCATTGGAACGAGTCAGTTGGCATGACTATGAACCCCTGGAGGCCATCTACACAACGCCCTTTTTCGCAACAGCATACAGCAGCGGCAGCAACAATCGTGGCAGCAAACCATATTTTCCACCAGCCAGGTGTGGGGCTATCGTGTGTTGGCTCAATTTGATCCTCAATCCGGCTCTATATGGCTGTTGGCGCGTGCCGTGCCGCAAATCCGCCCCGTACCCCGCAATACCTGGGGCAACGCATTTGGCAACACATTAGCCGCCCTGCGCCCAGGCAACCGCTTCCGCGATGATCGTGGCCCCCCGAGCCGAGCGGAGTTTGGAAGCGAGCGGCCAAGGCCAGCACGGAGAAGTGAAATGAGGCGCATGCATCATTGCCACGAAGCGTCTTGAAGATGTTTCAAACTTCTGCTTCAACGTCGTTTTTCTCTTCGGACCTTGATGGCCAACCGTTCGTCATACAGCAATTGATGTATTCCCAGATCACTTGCAGTTGCTCCCGCAAGGTGCCGCAGCCCCAAAGTATCCGAGACAGTGTTTCATCGAGCTGTTCAAACTGTATCCAGAAGAGTAGGCATGATCTCAGTCTGCACTTCTGGATTTGTAAGGGGCGATGGGTCGTCTTCTTTTCTTCCTTTTTTTTCCCCCCCCGACTGATTTCGACCCGCGAACACCCGCAGATTGGAGTTGAAGCCACGCAGCAAGCCGATGCCCGGGGATCCGGGCTACAGAGAGGCGAAGTGGGGCGGTGTGGGGGCTTTCGACTTAGCCGGCTATTGCCACCATGTGCCCTGTTGGTTTTGAGGCCACGGCTGACAGGCTTTGCTGCTAGGAACCTTTCGTTCAAGACGGCAGTGAAGAAATGGCGAGCGTAGGGCCATGCACGAATGAACGACCATTTCAGGAGTGCGGCAAGAACTCTGCCGGACCTACCCTGCTCTGTGAGAACGCTTGCGGCTCCTAACCTGCCCGAGCCAAGGTGACTTCACAAGGGATGAAATACATCGTGAATAGCCCGTGAAGTCCGTGGTCCTTAAGCATACCGATCTCCATTGTGTGCAAGAAACACCTCGCCAACATGATGCCTGTTTGGAAGACTGCAGTGCTTTCCAACAAGCCGACTGTCATGTTCCAGGTTGATAGGTGGGATGTTGTTTGGCCAGATCTTATGACGGCAACTGGGAGTGAGCCAGGACAGCCCGCCACGCCAAGCTGGCCGTGCAGATCCCTTCGGAGGGGCCCGGCCCAATGATAGGCGCCGCCGGGTGGGAGGGACAGGAGGAGACTATTATAGGGAGCTGCCTCAGTCGCCATTAGCTCCTTTGCAGGCGCCGGTGTTTCTGTGAAGGCCTTTGCGGTTTGTCGTTCATTGCCGGCATTGGTTCTTTTGCAGTGCAGATATGGACTTTTTTTGTTCACAGAACATGCTGTGATGCGGCCATGCCAACTGCCAGACGTGCGTCAGAGGCAGCCGCAGGCCTGCTCGAGGCTGAGCCCGCAGGTATCGCACTACCAGAGCAGATGCGGACGACAACTGGCGCAGGTGAGCGGCTGCTTCGTTTGAGGGGCTCCCGTCCTGCCAAAGCAACTTTGAGGGGACCACGAACCAATACCTTTTTGAGGCTGGGAACGAAGGGCGGCCAGGGCTTTTTCCAGGATTTGTTCGGCTCCTTTGGCAGGATGGGCCATCTGGAAGCGAGCAATCTTTAAATGGGCCAGCCGGCGGCCAGCCCTGAGTTGTCAGGAGAGCCTTCATGCTCAAGGGCCCAAGGGGCTGGCTTAGGAATGGGCAGCTCTCCGGGTGTCAGGCCGCAAGCGGTCAACCTGGCGCACGGCCTCATGGACTGATTGATGAAATGCCTGGCTCAGGGACTCTTCTATTTTATAGTCATGCAGAATAGCCAAACGAGAGTTCAGATGATTGCGTTCTTAGGGCCGTCACCACTTCCGGCCCTGCATTGTTCATTTTGGCGCCAGTGTCTGGGTTTTCTGGAAACCGCGGTAGGTCAAATAGCTTTGCATTTGATTGGAGCAGCTTCGTGCTGCCGACCTGGCCTTTCCGCAAAACACTGCGCTGAGGCCCCTAGGGCTCGAGATTTCCATTTGCCAAGGGTGAAGAGGGAGGAGGAGCTGCTCAGGCAGTAATTGGATCATTGGCAACTCGCGCCTTTTGCAACCGTAAGTGTAGAACAGTGCCATTGCCGGCCATGCAATGCAGCTTTTGATGGCCAATGGCTGATAGGTTTCCCCAGACGCAACAAGCCACAACAAACAGGGAGCTGAGTTTGCCTCTGCCTTTTTAGGAGTGTTGTGCTTCGCGGCCCGGCCTGACTGGCAGTACCAGCCTCATGTTGAGCCGGCCACACTTTGGACGTGAGTTGCTTGCCCAAACCTGCGGCCCACTGGAAGTGGATCCAAGCAGGCTGCACTTCACTCCAATGACCCTCACGCAGACCCGGGCCCACCGTTTCCTGTGAGCTGTGCCCAAGGCTGGCCAAATCATCTGAACGTTGCGCAGCGGTCGCACAGCTCCAGCCGAAAGCTCTTGAAACAAATCGCAGCCTTGAGCGTGCTGGTTGCGCTGGCTTGCTCACCATGGATCGCGAAAGGCAGGACAGGATGCTTCAAGTTTCATTCCGCTGGATGTGTGGGGCCTTCAAAGTTCCGTTTGTCTCAATTTGCTGCGTTTGTTTCCTGACTAAGCTATTTCTGCTTAAACTATGGGATTTGCATATTGTTGTTGGGGGGCCCATTGCAACTGACCAGGCCCGGCATGAAACGACTGGACGAGGCCTTGGCAGACATTCTGCCAAAACTTGGGAAACGGATGCCCTCCCCACGCCAGCAACTAGAAGAATATCAAACCCTCACCGTTGCATCGCCGCAGCCAGTGGACCAACTTCCGGCCGACGCGCGCGTGCGCGTGGGAGGAAGAGCGCTATGGAGCAGCGTTCGCGCGAGCTCCAGGAGGGCAATGTGAAACTTTTGAAGGAGCCTCTTGTCTTTCAGTGCGGGGTCAGCAATCCAGAGGTGCAGCATACATGCATGCTTGCCAGCGCGGCGTGCCTGTGTGGCCGGATTCACCCCAGATGTATTTTCCATAGAGGGTGGGTCCGAGATTCGTTTAGTCGGTGCCGGCTTTTCCCATCCAAGTTGCCTAGGGCGTCAACCTGCAGTGCATTGGGCATGCCTGAAGGACTTAAAGGTAAGTAACTGTCGCAAGAAACCGCAATTTCAGAGGAGCTGAGCTATTGGGGGCTTTCGTTTTTCAACAGCGATGCAGCGTGCTGGCGCAAGGTGACGCGAGGATTTGTTTAATCATTCGTTCAAGACGCAACAATCTAAAACATCTATCGCTGTTGAACCTTCTTCTTTGAAAGTGAGAACGCTTGAAACCACATCTTGACAAGCAGGGTCGAATGATCGTAAAGGACTACCAGGTTGACGGCGCTGACGGAAGCAGAAGGAACATTGACAGCAATGGTTCAATTGTTCGTGTAGCTGAATTTTTGGTTGACGTGATGCCACAGCAGGGTGCTGGATGCAGGGTAATTAGTGAGGTGAAGGGTGCTAGTGCAAGGTGATTCGGTGGTTATTTGGGGCTCAGACCGTGGTGCATGTTGGAGTTCCAGGGTTTGGACAAGCAGCTTCGCGCCGTCGGAACAGTTCTTCTCGGCTTTTGTACACACCTCGACTCCTCACACGGAGCAGCCCACGGAGTGCTTGCTGCGAGGCTGTGTGGGCCAGGCGACTTTCTCCCTGGCTGGGTCCGCACAGCAGTTGTGCAGGACGGGTCTGCGGCATCAAGTGCGGGCAATTCTTTATGGAGAGAGGTCGCCCAAAAATGCGGAGCACGCTGCAGCTGCCCCAGTTGTTTTGTTCTCTCGTTCATGTTCGATGATGCCATATTTAAATTACCCTTACCCACATCTCAAGCTGCCACTCGCAATCACCCACACGCATTTTTGTTTTCTTTCTTTTTTCTGTTTTTTTTCTTAAATGGCGTGTTAATAAGCGGCATTGTCATTGGAAGTGCCGTTGTCTCCGGAAGGTTCCTGCTCTTTGCCCAAAAGCCAGGAGGCTTTGGCAGCGACCTTCACCTGCCAGGGCTGCCGGGCCCTTCAGCAGCAGAAACTCAATGACAGCTGGCAGGCCAGGCAGTGAGTCGGAGGTGGGAATAGGGTATTGGTCACCACCATGATTTCAATTTTGTGAGATCAAGCTTTGCCCCAGAGTTGGGATATCCGCGTATGCCAACTTGTGCATGTCGTTCTGCAGGGTCCTTAAATTTTAAATGTTCTTAACACATTTGAATGTGAGATGCTGCTTCTTGCTGATATTCGCGGCGACCCGGCCATTCCAAAGCATAAGCTTTGACTTTGACCTACGGCGAGTGATCTTTCACGTAACATCGCGCTTTGCCAACCAATTTAGGTTTTCTTCGGCAATGCTTCGGCAAAAGGCGTATGCCGAAGCTGGGGCTGCACCCTGTGCATCCCTCTGCCGCAAGTGCTGTCCATTGCACCCTGCCAGGCCATGCATGCTGTGCAGCACAGCTTCCACGAGCCTGGCGACTGCCATGGTCTGGGTGTGGTGGTGCACGGCCTCGCAAATGCCCAGCAGATGCTGACGGAGGCGTGGTACCGCAAGGCCCTCGAGTCTTGGTATGTCTTGGTTCTTCTCATCTTGGGGCGGAGCTGCCAGCTTGCAGATGTGGAGGGTTGGACTTCGTGAGTCAGGCGAATTTCGGTTTTGTTGAACCTCCACTTGGTAGCTTTTTGCGGTGCGCTGCCTCTGCGGGGTGCTGCCGTCATGACCCTGGTAGTGGGTGCATATGGCATATGGGCGCAGGCCGCACGAAGTTCCACGTTCAAGTTTGCCATGGCTTACTGGCTTACAATGTGTGGCTTGCCATGAGGTCTCCCTGCAACTGTAGATCCACCTTGAAGGAGCAAGCATCCAAAGTCTATCTTGCCGTCCAGCAAAACCGAGGTTTTAGGACCAAGCCTAGCTTTGCAGAGAAAGGGGCTGGGCGGCTTTAGGGATACCGCCCACCAGCATCATATTGCCAGAAGCTCGTCCATGTGTTGGCCGGGGAAACTGTCTCACACGGACCTGGTCCAAGTTCGGGCGTTAAGGACTTGCCGGGTTTGTCTTCTCCTTACCATCTTGGCAACCACTCTTTCTCTGGTTTTTGCTGGGGAAGCTTTGATATGCATCACAGTCCTTCTGGGTTAGCCGTGCTAGCCTAAGGGGTGCCAGCAGCCAACATGTGCCAACTGAGTTTCGTCCGAGGACCTCGTCTGCCGCACTTTACGTGATGCGGGCGAAGAAGTCCCAGACACGGAGCCAGACCGCTTGTTCCGCTTCACAGAGCTCATTGCGTGCGTGGCTCTGGCGGTGGGACACCTCTCCTTCTATCGGTGCTTGGGTGGCACCGCGGCAGAGCTGTATGCTGAAAACTTTGCTTGGTTTGCAATTTGCGTTTGAAATCAGCCGCCCGCCTCAGGCATTCTGAAGCGACCCACGGCGCCTTGTCACATAAGTAAGCTTTCACCGGCTCCCCTTGGACATTGTTTTTCGCTCATGACTGGCCCTTCCATCGAAAGTCAACAAGCTGGTTCCTCGGCAAGGCAGAGAGATGCGCTTCCTTTAATTCAAAATCTGGCGGTTTTAGACCAGGTTACCAGGTTGGCCACAAATTCCTATGTTTGGGGAGGAGGGCTGGAGATGAGCAGTGCCAGCAGCAGCTTTAAGATGCCCTCTGCAGAGCTCCTGTAAGCGAGGCATGTTGTTTCTTTTAGGTCCTGCAAAACGGCAACGGGCCATCAGCTGCAGCTCGCTGCTCCATTCTACAGGTCAGATCTCCATATTCATCCCTGTCCTCATCCGCCCCACGGACGTTTCGGGCGGCTTTCTCATGAAGCTTCGAAGCTTCGGGGCAATGTGTCTCAGGTCGCAGGTGTGGCTGGGCCGCCGCGCTTCAGCGCCGCCAGCCAGGCCCAGAGCCTTGTTGACCCAACACCTTTGTTGAGCCACGGCATCACGGCCTCGCCCAGGGTGAATTTTGCACTTTTGCGATGCCGCTGTGGATCAGCCGTGGTTCCTCAATACCAGTACGAGGTCTCACTAGCGAGGGTACAGATGTAGCAACTAATGTGAAGATTCGTGGAGCCAGGTGTTTGTGGGACTCCCATTGCACGGCGGAAAGGGGTCAGCGGAGTGTTGTGAGCCAGCACAGTTCTTTTCACCGCCGTGTCCAATGGCCATTGCCCAGGTAACCAGGCAGCTGGCAGCCGCTGACCCTGACAATTATGGCTGGGGGCCGCTGGGATTGTGTCTTGAGAGTTGGAGGGAGGAGAGTTGAAGTGGCATAGAATTGGGTTGGGCTTGTGACTTCTAAGGATTCTAAGGAAACGGTTCGGATGCGACCGTTGTGGACCCACGCCTGTAGGGGATTCAAAGAGTGCCAAAAAGAGTACACAAAACATGGACCAACAGGGAGAAGAAAAGGTGGATGTCACGAAACGTGCATCCAAACCGACCTGTGTTTTTGCAATACTGGCTTGCAAGCCATCTTCCGCATGCACGGATCATCCCTGGTCCAACTAGGCCCAACTTGGCTGCGGAAAATGTCGTGGAGGGCTTTACCCTCACGAGTGGCGATCCGTGGCCGCATATTATCAGGCATAGTCAACCCACTCGATATATGTTTGTTTCCCCTGATGTTCAGTGCAAGGCCAAAATGCAGCTGGGAGTACATAGCTTGGGTGCGTTCAGATCCTTGGTTTGATACCGATGTTTTCCAACTCGAGAAGCGTACCGTGGTCCCTAGGAGGCCTTTTCGCAGTTCTTCTCCTCCATGGCACTCAAGCCATCCGTGCCGCTCAGCAAGTGGACCCCAGCTTTGTCCACAGGCCGGGCCGGCTCCGGACAGTTGTTGCAAACGGTCTTGGCAGACGTCGGGTCTAGAACAGCCATTTTGCAGAGCTCTTTTTTGGAGGTTTGCGTATCGTTGCTGGGTTGGGCTAGGGAGGTATCATTTTGTAGGCGTGAGTTTGGTCTTCATTTCAGTGTTAGCGATTCAATTGGCCGTGTCCAAGCCAGCTTCAGCATATTTCAAGGGTAGCCAGCATGCCCACTACAAAATGACATGGTACATCAGACAGGTTTCATGAAACAGCATCTAGTATCATTTTGTAGTGGCCACTCGGCCCGCATTTTGACCAAATGTTGCTTCCCCCACAGCACGCCAGTTCTTCCAAGATTTGGAATTGCATTCCCCGCCATTTTGTAGGCACCTTGGCAACCCAAGAATCTAAATTACAAAGCGGCCGCTCCAATGTTGGCCATGCACCTGCAAAAGGAGTGCGATGTTTACCAGGCTCGGTGTCTAAAAGCTGAAGAGCACGTGGCAACACTCGGTGCACTTTCTAGCACCCTGTAGCGCTCACAAAGGCTTAGCGTCGAAACGCGATACTCAGCAATATAACAAGACGTCTTGGAAAGTGGTGCGATAGTTGCTTGGTTTGGCTTTAAACGGCTGCAAAGCGTGGTTGATCACGTTTCATATGCAACTGTGCGAGTCTTAGTTAGTTTCTCTGAGTAGGGCTCCTGAGCACTTGCTGTAGCAATCCTCAGCAGCAATTCGTAGCGGACAGCAAGGCTTGCTGACTGAGAGCCAACATTGAACTTGACTCACAATGCACCCTAGCCTGAACGTTCTCTATCCCTGATTTTATGTGTGTTACATGCGGTTCTCCTTACCTGACGCCAAGCGAAAGAGATACGAGGAGCCGCCTTCCTTGACTTTGGCACCATGTGCTACACGCCGATGACGAAAGGCTGCAGTCTCAGCCAGCTCAACCTGGTTGGCGGGTCATTGATCATGCAGATGCTCATTTAGATACTTGTGGCATCTTGCGGCAACCTGCGCAAGATTGGACATGTCCGTTGGTTTGCACGCAGCTTTTCTGATCATGCGCGCATGCTGTGGAGGAGCAGGAACCGATCCGACTGTCAATCATAGCAGTGTCATTGCTGTTGCTGGTGCCAGCGATTGGCTGCAGAAAGCAGTTTGCCATTGAATGTATTGGGGTCTGACCTGAGCCATCTTGCAGCCCAGGCGACTTGTCTGAGACACTCAGCATATTCAGAAATTTGTTGGCCAAGGCTCGGTACCACCCAACTACATGTTCAAGAAAGCGCCTGGGAGATGGCTGAACAGAGCGCAGATCGAGATCGTTGTTGCTTGCCTGCCTGTGGCCGAGCAACCAGACCTGTGAATGCTGGGCATATAAGTAAGACACAGCAAGAATGAAACATGCCGTTCGCGATGGCCACTAAAAGGGCATGCTGTTCAAGCCGCTGGGGTGGGTGCTGTTGAGCAAACTGCCCAGGCTGCTGACTACAGTGCGTCAGTGGAATGCTCTTACTGCACCTTGTCAAGGCTCGCTCAAGGTGCTGATGACAGCTTTTTTTTTTGTCCCGCATGCAGGGCAAGATGCTGCTATGCCCATTGCGCATGACTCCATGGCATTCGATGCCAGGCCTAACAACATGTCGCACCCGCCCAGGACGCAACTCGCACAGGACGCTGTCGAATTTCCTGAAAGCGTTTGGAGCTGACGAGGGCAGCTATGCTGCTGAGCTGAAGGAGATGGGCTCCGCCATGGGTGCCTTGGTGCTTCGGGGCTTGACCCGGTCGTGGTTCGAAATTTACGCCATTCTGGTATACTCCTAGTTTATGATATGCTCCCACCAACGTGGTTCTTCATCGGCTGGCTAGGTGAGAGCCGGTACGGGGACAAGAAGGACGCCCAGGCAGTTGGGGGGTCGATAGGGGGGGCCCTGGAAATGCCATGTAGGGACAACATGGGACAACCAAAGGCAGGCTTTGGATACAATGCGACTCTTCAATCGCACAACCACATTCATACTTCCCAGGAACTGTGTGTGGCGGGAATGAAGCTGTCCAGGCCCACACAGTTGGACCTTGTTTAGTGTGCCCCGCCCCCCACCACAGAGTAGTCAAACCAGTCCAGCACTTCCTGTTGGATTGCCAGAACTTAGTTTAGTTATATATATACATATATATATATATTATATATATATATATAGATCGCCAAGTCTAAATCGAGTATTGCCAGGACTTATTTTTGATTCCAAGTGCTTAGTATTGCGTAGTTTAAATTTAGTATTGCCAGGACCTACTTTCGATTTCCCAGTACTTGGTTAAGGACATGAAAGAAGACCCCTAAACTGTCATATTAAACAGGAACACTGGCTCCCGTGGGCACCTCCCTTTGTGTGGCTGATTTTGCTTGCGCTTTTTTCTCTCCTCTTTTTTCTTCTTTTTTAAACATCAACAAATGAAAATTACACAAGCATAGACCCCAGCTAGCAATACCATGGCTACGAACCATGACGCAGCATCATCATGGTTCCCGCGGCATGTTGACAGCATCATAATGATGTTGACAGCATCCCGCTGATACACCAGCCACGGACGATTCCGCGCTACATATCGGGCAGAAAAAGGGCAGAGACGACGCCCTGATGAGTTCGACAGCATCATGATGATGCGGACAGCATCCTGATGATGCGGACAGCATCATGTTCTTTTTTTGCTCGCAACTTCTTCTGCCCGGCATGGTCCCCCCCCCCACGAGAAAACCGGCTTAGGGGTCTAGCCTCCGGGCTGTTGTTCCGGAAATCAGCCCCCCACCTGCGCGCTGTTCTCCCAGTCAGCGTCCGGGCAAGCGACTGCACGCTGGCTCTCGCAGTGCCGGACGTCAGCAAGGACGTCGCTGACATCCGGCGCAGGCCCGTCAAGGTTGTGTGCGTTGGGGCTGGGCAAAAAGCCCAACGAGGCGACACCAGCTGGAAGAGAGCAACTCCCGGCAAGTGCGTTCCTTGTGGCGCCGGGCCTGGCGGAGGGCGGCTCCTTCAACCCGCCGCTGGTGGACGCTGGGCGCGCCCGCTGGAGCCTAGGGCCGAAATGAGGGTGGTGTCAACGGCAAGCTGCGCCGCCCCAGAGCGGCAACCAATGACCTGAGGGGGGGGGGCCTGTCGTCAAGCTGCTGGACATGGACATTTCCGGCAGACTTGGGCCGCGCCCCGCTCAAGAGGCCCAGCGGGCGCGAAGGGCTCCAGACCGCGGAGATCCACAGCACGCCCACACGCGCATAAGGCAGAACCCAAAGGCAAAGGGAGCTGCAAGCAGTGAAGGAGGAGCACGCGGAAGAGCGAGGGCTTGAAGCAAAGTTCCGGGGAAGTGGGAGCAGCCAAAAAGACCCCGAAGCAAAAGGGGCCGGCTGGGGAAACCAGCGTGGCGCCGGCGGCCGCATTGAGCTGGTCGGCTGCCCGGGAGGCGGCGCGCTGCCACCCGCGCGTCCGGTCTTCTGCTGTGACCCCGCCGTCGGGCAGCGCGGAGCAGGTGCGCGCCATATGTTTTGATGTGCTGGCCCCGCGCAGCTTGGCGCCGCCGTCGTTGCGTTCCCTGCCTGCTCGTCGCACTTTTTCCACCTGTGCTGCGCAGCGCACCTGCGAGTGCAGGCTGCGGCAGCAGCTGACCTGCTGCGCCCGCTTTGCCACCGCAGTGCTACGCGAGCCGTGTGCCCAGCAGTCCGTGCACAGCAGTCGGGGAATGGCGCTGCAGGCGGCCTGCTTGCCATGCTGTGGCGGAGACCGGGCCCGAGCGACGTTGCCATGAGTAATCTCCTGTCTGGGCCGCCCCCCAGCGGAAGCTGTCAGCCGAGACTCGGACTGCCGCTTCTCGGGCTGGCCGCCGCCGGCCTTTTGCAAGAGGACGCTCAGCGCGCCTGGTCAGACCACCCAGCCGCCGCGACAGCCTGATTTACCTATCGCCAGCATACGCCCCTCGACCCGCCCTCGAGATTGAGCGGTTGGACCGCTTCCGTCGCCTGTTGCGCCGCCACCTGACCCGCTTGCGATGCCTCCGTCACCCCCTAGAAGTGGCTCGGGGGATATGGCGCCCGCGGCGCCGTCAACGCGGTCGTCTCCAGCGCTCCAAACTGCACCTCCAAACAGCACCCCCCAAACAGCACCTGCGCCAGCACGCCAAACTGCACGCCCCCTAGCACTTAGCCGTCAATCTCGCAAATCACCTTGCCCTGTAAAAGTAGAAGGCTAAGGCTTTAATCTGGGGGGTTCAGTAACCTCAAAAAAGTTGGACATGAAAGCGACCCCCGAAACAGTCACATTAAACAGAACCAGGGCCTCTGCTTGCCCTTACTTTTTTTGGTAAAGAAGTTATTAGTTTGGGCACCACTTCACAAAGGAATTGCTAATGCTTGCCCGGATTTGTTTGCCCGGTCCCGATTTGTTTAGCGCGCTTTTTTGCCCGGATGCTTTGTGTCGGCCAACGCAACTTGGCATAGTGGTACCGAAATAGTGGGCGCGTCGCATTCAAGCCGAGGAAACTAGAACCCACAGTTTTGGACTGTTCAGGATTCGAGGTGCAGCGGGAGACCCAAGGTGTGAACATGGAAAGAGGGAGCCAAGTGACTCCCAGCGGCATGACATTCTTGCTGGCTGCAGCAAGGCTTGTGCGGTTTGTGTCAAGTGAGTTGGGTGCATAGTTGTCGCGAGGTCTGGACTTGGTCATTCACTACCATCATAGCCTTCCATTCTTGAACGCTTGACTCCGCAAAACAGTACATGCTTCCTCAACCAATTTTCCTGCGAGTAGGTTTATTCAAGATGCAGATCTTAAATGCGCGCTATATGACAGAAGCACCCATACCCCCAGTAGTTGAAAAGATAGGCATTTCAGGTTTGTGGGAGGTGCATCAACAAAATCATGCAAAGGACATTCAAAAGAGTGCGCATTTTTTTTCCGCATCAGAGCTGCAGTGCAGGCTCGCCTGGACATTGCCACTGCCGCATTGCGCGCCAAGGGGGGTGACCATGCTCTGCTCGATGCCGCAGGGGTCGTGGCTTTTTTTTCGGCCCTTCGGCTGGGTTTTCTGGCTTTTCGTGATCTTTTCGTTGTATTCCTGGAGCTTGAAACCCGACCAGGACGGCCCCAAGTTCCTAGCTATGTCATTGAGATATGGTTGTCCTTTTATAGACACGCTGGTGTATGTGTGAACATCACCGGAACATGCAACCCCGAGAGGCATGGCTAGCTGACGTTGGCTTGGGACAAAAAACGATGCTTGGAGATGGGGGACTTGAAGCTTTTGTCAGGTCGGAGCCTGCTACATGTTCCATATTCAAAAAGTTGTGTAGGTGCTGCAAGCCAAAATGGGTGCAGAATTGAGAACGGCCTGGTGTAAAAGCCGGAGACCAGTGTGTTGCTGTAATCCAAGCCCGTCGGGAAAACCCACCCTCTGCAGATTGGCTACGTTCGTTGGATTGGATGGGACTCTGTAGTCTTTTTCAGTCTTTTCTTTCTTTTTTGTTTCCCGGAGGGCTAGGCGGGGGGGAGAAAGATGAGAAAAGAGAAGCGTAGCAGACATCAGGCAATGACGATCATGGTGGACGCCACCGGTCACAACAACCCCTTCATGCCCAAAATCACCAGAGTCATGGAGCGCGTGGTGGATGTCAAGAAGAAGGCCGGGATCCAGGAGCTGTTGGTGGCTTTCGTGGAGCAATCTCCATCGGCAGTCTTGTGTCTTTTTTCCTTGCTGCTGGCCAGTGACTCTCTGTGCTCCAGGTGGCGGGCTGGCTGCTGCCAGCCTGCGTGGGTCTGGTGCTTTGCTGTGCCGGTGGCCTGGCACTGCGCTAAGCGGATTTTTGGAGAAGGGCAGCGGAACATGAGGGGTCGACTCGGCCGACCAATGCTTCGCCATCCGGGAGGAAAGAAATGCTTTCAGAGGCTAGCGGACCATTCATGGGCTGCCCTTCTCCAGCCTCCTGGCAACAGGTTCCTGTACAGGCAAGCTTCGGGAAGCGCGCGATTTTTTAGATCTTGAGCCTTTGTCCCTTTGCCCCTTGACATGCGCCTCGAGTCCCTCTCGTTTTTCACATTGCGGCTGCTCGATTGATGTGCACTGGTCTAGCCAGAGTGCTGGTTGCATCGAGGTGTCTCAACAGCAGCTTAGCTGGTCCACTTGCATTCCTCACGCTGCCACCAGCACGGGCACGGAAGTTTGCGGCAGCATGTGAAGGTCAGAGTGGCGCTCGCTGGCGTCCCGGTTTCATGTTCATTGCAAGCCTCTTTTGTGAAGTCTTTTGCGCACTTTTCCCGTGCTTCAATGCCAAAGGTCCATTCATATAACTTTTGTGATCAGCAATTGGGGTGGTGAGCAACGCGGCCTTGCATGTATAGCACCATCCCACCACGGCCATCTCGTTCGTAGCCACTCTCCCCCAAATTTGGCGCGGAGTACTGGCAATTTACGACGCAATTGTGTTCCCCTCCAACCTGCGTGGAGCCTTGGCGTGCGGATGCCGCTTGTTCGCATGGCTCTGCCTGGTGCTTTGGATGATTGGGATTTCGTAGTGATTTTGGGTTTTGGGGGGGATGTGTGTGGAAGCATTGGACGGTGACGGACTCGGACATGAACAGGTACGTATTTAGCATTGTAGCATTGCAAGCAGGGCTGACAGTGCCGCCGGTCAGCCTGGTCCGACGCATTTAGCTCCAAGAATTCAGTTGCAAGCTTCGGCTCAAGACGGTTTGGTCCCAGCTTCTGTGACTTGTCGGAGCCTCAGTCTGACAACCTCGCACACATCATGGCAGTCGAGCCACGACATGAAGGGGTTTGATGTATCCGCCAGACCCCAAACTTCACTAAACCCAACCCTGCCTGCCAGCCAGGCAGGCAGGCAGGCAGGCAGGCGCAGGCAGGCAGGCAGGCACGCAGGCAGGCAGGCAGGCAGGCAGGCAGGCAGGCAGGCAGGCAGGCAGGCAGGCAGGCAGGCCAGGCAGGCCAGGCAGGCCAGGCAGGCAGGCAGGCAGGCAGTCAGACAGAGACAGACAGACAGACAGACAGACAGACAGACAGACAGACAGACAGACAGACAGACAGACAGACAGACAGACAGACAGACAGACAGACAGACAGAGACAGAGACAGACAGAGCCAGACAGAGATCGACAGAGACAGACAGAGACCGACAGAGACAGACAGACAGACAGACAGACACAAAAAACAGACAGACAGAGACAGAGACAGACAGAGACAGACAGAGATCGACAGAGACAGACAGAGACCGACAGAGACAGACAGACACAGACAGAGACAGACAGATACAGGCAGAGACAGACAGAGACAGAGAGACAGAGAGACAGACAGAGACAGGCAGACAGAGACAGACAGAGACACAGACACACAGAGACACAGAGACAGAGACAGATAAGAGACAGACACAGACAGACACAGACAGACACAGACAGACACAGACAGACACAGACAGACACAGACAGACACAGACAGACACAGACAGACACAGACAGACACAGACACACAGACACGCACGTAGACACACACACACAGACACGCAGACACGCAGACACGCAGACACACACACACACACACACACACACACACACACACACACACACACGCACACACGCACACACGCACACACACGCACACGCGCACACGCGCACACGCGCACACGCGCACACACGCACACACGCACACAAGCACACACGCACACACGCACACACGCACACACGCACACACGCACACACGCACACACGCACACACGCACACACGCACACACGCACACACGCACACACGCACACACGCACACACGCACACACGCACACACGCACACACGCACACACGCACACACGCACACACGCACACACGCACACACCCACAAGCACATGCACACCCACACCCACACCCACACCCACACCCACACAGACACAGACACAGACACAGACACACCCACACCCACACGCACACGCACACGCACACACGCACACACACACACAGACACGCGCACAGACAGACACACACACACACAGACACACACACACAGACACACAGACAGACACACGGACACGCACGGAGACACACAGACACACACAGACACAGACACACACACAGACACAGACACACGCACACACACACACAAACACACGCAGACACACACACACAGAGACAGACACACACACGCACACACATACAGACACACACACACACAGACACACACACACAGACAAACGCACACACACACACAGACACACACAGACACACACAGACACACACACACAGACACACACAGACACACACAGACACACACAGACACACACAGACACACACAGACACACACAGACACACACAGACACACACAGACACACACAGACACACACAGACACACACAGACACACACAGACACACACAGACACACACAGACACACACACACAGACACACACACACAGACACACACAGACACCCACACACACACACACCCACACACCCACACACACACACACCCACACCCACACCCACACCCACACCCACACCCACACCCACACCAACACCAACACCAACACCAACACCAACACCAACACCAACACACCAACACACCAACACACCAACACACCAACACACCAACACACCAACACACCAACACACCAGCACACCAACACACCAACACACCAACACACCAACACACCAACGCACCAACACACCAACACACCAACACACCAACACACCAACACACCAACACACCAACACACCAACACACCAACACACCAACACACCAACACACCAACACACCAACACACCAACACACCAACACACCAACACACCAACACACCAACACACCGACACACCGACACACCGACACACCGACACACCGACACACCGACAGACCGACACACCGACACACCGACACACCGACACACCGACACACCGACACACCAACACACCAACACACCAACACACCAACACACCAACACACCAACACACCAACACACCAACACACCAACACACCAACACACCAACACACCAACACACCAACACACCAACACACCAACAACACCAACACACCAACACACCAACACACCAACACACCAACACACCAACACACCAACACACCAACACACCAACACACCAACACACCAACACACCAACACACCAACACACCAACACACCAACACACCAACACACCAACACACCAACACACCAACACACCAACACACCAACACACCAACACACCAACACACCAACACACCAACACACCAACACACCAACACACCAACACACCAACACACCAACACACCAACACACCAACACACCACCACCACCAACACCAACACCAACACCAACACCAACACCAACACCAACACCAACAAAAGCAACACCAACACCAACAAAAGCAACACCAACACCAACAAAAGCAACACCAACACCAACAAAAGCAACACCAACACCAACAAAAGCAACACCAACACCAACAAAAGCAACACCAACACCAACAAAAGCAACACCAACACCAACAAAAGCAACACCAACACCAACAAAAGCAACACCAACACCAACAAAAGCAACACCAACACCAACAAAAGCAACACCAACACCAACAGAAGCAACACCAACACCAACAAAAGCAACACCAACACCAACAAAAGCAACACCAACACCAACAAAAGCAACACCAACACCAACACAAGCAACACCAACACCAAC